TTCTTTGTATTGTTGGAGCAATGAAGTTTGCTCCAAAATGCATAATTTTTTAGTAGATCACGAAGTGTTTGCTTTGGGATGGAAAAAATTTCTTTATTGTACATTTTGTTTTCTTGTCTGTCTGGTATATTGACCAATATGATGTGTTGAACTAGATCTGCTATTTTCACAGCTTTCATGAGAATTTTTTTTCCTATAAAGTAGGGCATTAATTAAAAAAATAATTTATTTGAATTCTATAAATCAAAGTTTTCTGCCAAACAGCAATGATGAACTGCATGGCAGCATTTTCTACCCAGTTACTGTAGTATCTAATCAAGAGCTGTCAGTCTGGTAAAGAAATCTGGTTGTTATTCGAAATTGTAATGGTTGTTGGTATTATTATTCTTACATGTTCCCAAAACAATACTTAAAAGCAGAAGGGACCGAGTAATTGTTTTTCCGTCTTTGTCCTATTTGTTTAATGTACTGGGTTTTATTTTCACTTGTTTTATTCCAATGTTTTTATTTAGTGTATTCTCATTATCAGTTCGTATGAAATCGTACGAAAAGTTATGCACAGTATTTTGTACGTTTTTGACGTTTTTTTCGTTGTATTTCGTCGTATTTTTACGTCTTGCCTCGAGACAAGATATCTGTGCGCATGCGCATCTTCAATAACAGACAATTTAACATACAATTAACCCTCACCCTAACCCTAACATACAAAACAGCAAGCAACCTAGTGAGAGACATCATGAAGTAATTATTGCACTGTCCGTCCCAGTTTTACGTCCGTCCGCCGATCTGCTTTTTCGTCTGTCTGGCTGCGCATGCGCACTGATATGTTTTTTCGAGAAAAAACTTCAAAAACGTACAAAATACTGTGCATAACTTTTCGTACGATTTCATACGAACTGATTATGAGAATATGTTGTTTTATTTTATAGGTGGTTTCATAAATACTGCACAAAACTCTGTTCAATGTACAAGCTAAATTTTCAATTGCTTTAGAAATAAATTTACATTGACATTCACACTAAGAACATCAGATGAACACAAAATTAACATATTAAAAAAACACAGGTAAAAATGGAAAAAATACTAAAAGTGTATGACGTAGTTACTTTTATTCCAACGTATGTTTAAAGCTGTTTTAAATGATGAATGGTTGAGATATCAGGCTATTCAAAAAGTTGCTCTTTAAAAGGCTGCTTTGACAGCTGCCCAACATGTGCCCTAAAGAGTCAGAAGGCTGTCTCATTTGTAGTAGATCAAACAACTCTACCTCATCATGCATGTTTGGGTTCTCTCTGGGTATTTCCATGGCCCCAAAACATGCCTGTTAGATTGATTGGTGTTGCTAAATTGGCTGTAGGTGTGTGTATGTGAATAGTCTTGTGAGAATGTATGACTCTACAATGGACTGGTGAACTGTCCAGGGTGTACTCCGCCTTTTGCCCATCGACTGCTGGTGATAGGCACCAGCCTTTGGGGGACTCTGACAGATAAGTTTTAGAAGATGGATGGAATTGGCCCTGTTATGCATACACCCTAGTAAAATGACTTTGGAATATCTAAGGTTGATGGACAGCTGTTATTTATTTATTTAGCTGTTTTGCCAGATGGTAGTGATGGAATAGTGATTAGAGAGCCGGGTGTTTGCATCCCAGAGAAGCTTTAAAGGTCTCCAGCTTGAAACTCAGATGGTCACTTTGGACCTTAAGGAAGACCCTTAACCAAAGATTTCATCTCATGCACTAATCAGTGTTGGAGCACACCTCTCCCTCAGGGATGGATTAAACACAGAGGGAACTTTCTCCCTATTTACTTATTTTCTCTCCGCTACCAATTACAGTGGAATGATTAAAGTTTCTAAACTAGAAACAACTTAAATGTATAGGATTGTAACTCCAAAAAGGGTTTAAAAAAAGGTTAAAATGGTAACTTAATCGTAACGTAACTTACCATTCAGTAGATATGAAGTGCTCAGGTCTAGTTCTCGGATGCCAAGATCCAGAATCAAATAACGCATTACCAGGCCTTTACCAGGGCTAAATGACATGCTGAACATCAAATTCAGCCATTTCATATTTGAGCAATAAGCTGCAGTAGATGATCAATATGCAGCATTCACCTTGGCTGTAAGTGAACAGACATGTACAGGATTACCCTTGGGAAAAACCTCTACAGGCCTGACCTGTGTCACAATCCTCTGACTGTTCAAATACATTTTCTTCTGCGTCTGTTATAGGTTTGTTACTAGCTCCTGAGGCGAATAAGAGACATTATAGTGGTGTGTCAACTTTAACCCCCATTATCTGTCGGCACTGCTCAGTGAGTTTTTGAGCCATATATATTTCTGTTACAATAAAGCCGCCCAACATCCATAAAAAACAGCATTCCAGTGAATATTTTCTAACTAAACCAATGAACTCAAAAAACGTACCATACCAGCATAAAAACTGACAAATAAAATAAACAATTTATTTTTGCCCTCATTTTATTTTATCCTACTCACACTAGATATTAAACAATCTTTCCCCCTTTTCTTTTATTGTTAATAATCAAGTGATTATTTTTTAGGGTTCTCTTGGGGTCCTTTTTTCCATCTTTGCTTCCCAATTTTAGACAATATTAAGCTCTCCCTCGTTAATGAAAAATAACAGAGTAAGCTACAAATAACCAAATGCATCGCAGAAATATTTAACATACTGTCAAACGGTCCTTTTAAACAGCTGTTTTTGTCACAACTTATGAAGAAGGGGTGATGCTTTACATCTAGCATTGCCAATGGCTAATGACTAACCAGTTGGGATATTTTCACAGTGCTTACACATCAGTTGTTTAGTTTGTCATGTTTTGAGGCTTCTTATAATATATTTTCCACTTGTTCTCTCTTTTGACTGTCATCCAAACAAGCAACTGTATTACTTCTTTTACTTAAAAATAAGAAGCTGAGATAAAGTAATAACCTTAAAGCATACCTCTTTAGACCAGTGGCTGTCAATCCTAGTCCTCACATACCAATGCCCAGCATGTTTTAGATGTTTCTTCACTGCCACACACCTGACTTGTATAAAAGAATAATCAATAGATTTCTGAAGCACCTGAAAGCTGCTAAGGAGGACATGCAATAATTTAAATCAGGTGTACAGCAACAGAGGGACATCGAAAAGATGCAGGGCATGGTCATTGTCTTTCTGGAAAATTAATTATTCGGTCAGCCCAATTTTAAGACTGCTCTGGAGCAGGTTTTAATCCAGGATGTTTCTGTAAAGTGCTGCATTCATCTTTCCCTTTATCCTGACAAGTCTGCCAGTTTGAGTGGCTGTATAACATCCACATAGGCAAGGCAAGGCAAGTATTTTTATTTAGGAAATTTCAGTGGCAAGACAGTTCAAAATGCTATAGGGTTAGGGTCTTTGCTCAGGGACCCAGAGTGGCAGTCTGTGGAGATCAAACCAGGTACTTGCAACCTTCTCAGAGCACAAATGCACTGCTTTAACACCTAGACCAGCACTCCCCTAAAATAAAAGAACTCTCTGCATCTCTGGCGTTAAGGGTCTTGCTTAGGGAGCCAGAATGTCAGTCTTTGGGAGTGGGTCGTGAACTCAAAACCTCTGGATTCCAAGTGCAATGCCCTAACGACTAGGCCACCCTCCCCTATAAGTTTCTTAGGCTTGTCCCCCAACTTGCTCCATTTAAGACCGTCAGGGAGCTTTGGGAAGAGCCCTGGTGGTTCCCGGCCTCGGCCATTTATGAATGATGGAAGCTACTGTGCTCATTAAAACCTTTTCAATCAGAAAAAATATGTACCGGTATCCTTTTCTAGATCTGTACCTCAAGGCAATCCTTTCTCTGAGGTCTACAGAGAGCTTTTTCACTTAATGCTTGGTGTTTGCACTCTGACATACAGTCATCTGTGAGAACTTATACAGACAGGTCTGTCTTTCTTATTTATGTCAAATCAGCTGAATCTTCTACAGATTGATTTCATTTAAGCTTTAAGAGGATATCAAGTACCTTTGCTCAGTTTTGAAATGGTGTTATTTATTTTGTTTTTCTAGTTGCTGCTAAAACAATCAATAATTTGGATTAGAGCTGCAACTAAAAATTATTTAGCAAACCAATAATCTGTCAATTATTTTTGCAATTAATCGATTAATAATTGGATAGCCAAAGGTTCTTTAAATAAGTCTTTTTAAACAGAAGAGTTCTGGATAGAGCATATTGACTGCCAAAAAAGTTTTTCTTATCTTGTTTAAATATTTTTTTTATAAAGTTTGTATAAATGCTGCTCAGGATGGGTTGCTCTGTCAGCTGAAGACACGTTTTAGAGTTGATTAATATAATACTAAATTAGTTGACGATTATTTCAATGATCGATTCATCACGATTAATCATATTGTTTCAGCCGTAGTTTGGGTGATTGTTGAAATCATCCATGTTACATAGTAATGAGTTATAATGGAGGACAGGGGAAAGTGGTATAGGGGGAGAAAGTGAGTGTGTGATCATTGTTCCATGAAATCTATTTCTAGGTTAGCAGATATTCATCTTCCAGGCTTCCTTTGGGATTTTCCCAACCATTTTATGTAGCTGTAGTCTAATGATTGGCCATCATTTAATGCATGTGGCATGTTTTCATGAATCCTGGCAAAGACAAGGGATGAGGAGGAAAGGCTAAATAGAAGCGGATGCTTTAATGTGATTGTAACAATTTCGTGCTTCTAGTCATGGCTAATGAAGTTTTATCTTGTATCAATAGGTTGAAGTAATTTGGCAACTAAAGCCTCAAGAGTGTAATTCATTTAACTGTTTCCATACATCTAGATCAAGCACAGATGTACTTCAAAAATTGCAGCTATCTTTTCAAACCACTCTTTGCCTTTTTCCTGTCCTTGACGTGTTTTTTTTAATTCTAATATTTCTGTTCTGATTTTTTCTTCTTTCAATCCCTTCCTGACTTCTGTCCATATTCCTTCATTCTGGTGTGGTGTGGATGTAACTAACTGCAGACTGGCAATATGAGGGTAAGACTAATCTCCTTTCTCTTCCTATGTTAAACATGTTCACATACTGGGCTGGTTAATTTATCCCGCTGACCCAGCCAAGGTGGTTATAGTGGATAAAGCTTGTCTCTTAAAAATGCTGCTTTAATCTGTTTTTACTGTCTGTTCCTGCTTCTCTTACCTTACCTTGTTTTACACTACATTACATTTAAGTCATAAAATTCTTGTGCTTTTATTCTTACAGTCTATGAATTCTTACTGAGGAAAGAACAAAGAGGGTAATAAAGTATAGACTATATCTGCAAAGCTCATACTTTAGTTTTCTATATCAGTTTATTGCTGTTGTACTTGCTGCATTTTATACACACTTCAGGGCTTTTCCAAAATCATTTTTCTCATAAATACTAAGTGTTTATCAAATAAAACCACCCACAGGGTTACCAATAAAGTTTTATATTTCCTCTTTCTTAACAAAGTAGATGTGAAGAGAAATAACCATCATAAAGTATAAGTCTAATCTTTTCTTGACTTTTCTATCATTTCAGAATGTAAACTCTCACGTTCTGGTCCTCCAGCTACAATTGTGGCGATAGATGAAGAAAGCCCCAACGGTAAAGAGCTTGTGATTTTTTCTTCTTTTTAAAACAAACAATGTTGTTATGATATTCTGTAACGTTTGAAAGTATATTTTTATGTCTCTTTATTTTCTATGTATTAGTTTTTTCTCAATTTGTCATGTTTGTCAAAATCCTAATCATAGGCTCATACTACCTCCTTAAACAGGAGACACAGAAAAATGCACATGATCACTTTTTTTAGCCATTTAATTCAATATGTACTGTAGTCAATTTGTATGCTTGACTACTGGTTTTCATACTAGATGAGAGTTTATTGAATGTGTTTGGTTTACCAGTAGAGGCCCAGTTTTCAAGCAAGTTTTCAATAGAGTTTGTTCCAAGACCATGATCCTTCAATTCTTAAACCAATTCTGATATGCTACAGCCTTGATAAGCGACCAATTCTTTTTCCAACGTTTTTTAATCGTCATTACAATTTTACAAGTAAAGAGCAACAAAATAAACTCTCTGCATTTAGTGGATTGAACTCTCTACATTTACCCCATCCCCTTTGGGAGCAGTGAGCTGCCTTTGTGCGGCGCCCAGGGAGCAGTGTGGGGGTCAAGGGCAATGCCCTAACCACTATGCAGCCACTCCCCAAAGCAGGCATTAGCGTGAAGGGTCTTGCCTAAGTACCCACACTGGCAGCTCATTCGGCTGTGATACAAACCCAGATTCCCTGTTTGCAGGAAAAGTGACTTACCACTTGAGCTAGCCAGCTGCAATTCCGTTACCCGGTGTTAAAAGAACAGAAAGTGAAAACAATTTTAAATGTTTAGGTATTCTTAAAATAAACTGAAAACACCTGAAACTCTTAAATTCTACTATACCCCATTGTCACATGTTTTAAGGGGATATATTTTGATTTACAAGACCTCTTGGAAAGAGTCAGGGAAGAACTTTCAAATTGAAGTCACTTTGCCTGTATCAAGCATGGTATTACCAATGTTAGGCTGTGTTTGCCAGATGACTGGTAGACTAACACATCAGCACTGAGGAATAAGGAATGAGGAAAACCTGTGGGGATCAAACCTTGTTTACATCTTAATTCTATTGAATGTTTAAAACCAAAGTCCTTGCTATAAAACTAAAAAGCTTTCCTGAAAACAATACTGTCAGTATTTACCTGTCTACTTTTATGTGCAAGGAAACTTTTGATTACATCTTATTATTTAATTTAATTAAATTTTGTACCAGGTTGAGATCCTGACTGTGTTTCTTTACCCTAAGCCATTAAAGTGATTAGAATATCATTTAATTAATTTGTCAGTGTGACCACATACTTTTGCATTTATGATACATTATGTACTTCAGAAATTAAGCCTGAAGCCATCTGGTCTGTATAACCAGCATTTGGTTGAGATGCAGTTTACCTTTCAAAAGAGAGGTTAACATATATCATTCAAGTATATAGATAATATCTGGAAGATATTTTTTAGATCAAAGATAAGAAATCATAAAAAGATTTAAGGCTCAACAATCCTTTTTCCTTTCACATGTTCTACTCATTTAATTTCTGAGGAATCAACAGTATCATTTAATATTTTACTTAACAATCCTAAATATTACATTATACCCATTAGGGCACTCCAACTTTCCTATACATTTGAGCTCCAAATTATACAAAAAATAAAATAAGTAATGTGTGTGTTTCTTGAAGAGAAACTTGAAATTGCTTCTAAAAAAAGAGCCAACCAAGGAAACTGATGTCAGCTCATTTCTGCTAAGCTATTCAAACACACGTCTTTGTTTGACCCTTTAACAAAGATCTCAGTCTGCGTATCACATCTTTGCCTTCTCTCGGCAGGTTTTGTTAAACAGCACTAGATGATGCTTGGCATTCAGCCTACACTGATTAACTCATTAGGCCTGTACCAACAGTGTCACTTAGATCTGATTTGTGTTACAGAGGAAAATACCTAAATCGCTTTGTGACCAGAGCCCTAAAAAGGAAAAATTAACTCTTTATTACTGAGCTTCTCAAATGTTGATGGTTGGATTTAATTACCGTAGAAACTAGCTGTTTCTAGGAGCAGTTGCTGCTGATTGTTGCATCACATTTAACAGGTACAGCGAGGTTATCTGTAAAAACCTTTTACCAAAAATTCAAATTAAATCTAAAGTTGGGTTATAAACAGCAAGCAAGGATTTTGATTTGATTTGACTTTTGATTTTCAGTAACTGTTTTCTAAAGGTAAAAATGGTTAAACACTTGTTTTTTTTATCTAATTTATTTTCATCTTTTCTTGCTGACTTTCTTCCTTAATGAAAAAAGACATCTACTTGTCCACAATGTAATCTCAAATTCTGAAAAACAAAAAGACTTAGAAAAACAATGTGCTCAGTGATTTTGCTATTTGCATTTCAGGTTTCAAAACGTGCCAAATCCTCAACATTTAGTTATATCTGTCTTCAGTTTATGTTTTACTACAAGAAGATGACAGAAATAGAATATACACTAATACATTATTGGGAAAAGAGTTTACATTTTTGTGTAAACCTGTTTAATTTTTTTGGACTTTGAACTTTATTGTCTTAACACTGGAGAAATTTACGTCTGTAGTAGTCTGTATTTAATCCATCCCCCTGGGGAGTAGTGGGCTGCCACTTTGCGGTGCCCAGGGAGCAATGTGGGGTTAAGGAACTTGCTCAGAAACCAAGAGTGCAGACTGTGGGGAAAACCGGTTACTTGGACACTTCCCAGAGCCCAAGCGCAATGCTCTATTCCAACACTCCCCTTGCCGTATCTGGCCTAAAGCCACAGGTATTGCTGCTGAATTTAAAACAGGTCAGCCAATCATGTTCTGTATGATAATTTAGGGCAGGAAATACAACTGTGACAAAACCAAGAGGTGATGAGCACACAACCAAAAAAAAAAAAAAAAAAACATGGCAGCACAGGAGGATGTACGCATAGCTGCTGCTATATCTGCTTTATCAGAATCCATGATTTGGTCTTTTAAAGAGTAACAACAAGAACATGAAAGCTTTTGTGGTTTTTCATGGGGTTCTGCATCTATTTTATTTGTTACCATGACTGGGTAAAACCAGGTAGGCTGGTAATCATTTCACTGGTTTGACCTTTTAGCTCAAAAATGGGCCCTGCCCCCTTCGGCGCGGGAGATAAAAGACAAATTAGTGTGACTGCCACAATAGGGTGGATGCTGCTCAGGTTTCTTGCTGTGAGAAAAGAGATGAGGTATAAGGCAAAGGTCTTGATGTAATGGTCAGTCTATGTTCCTACCCTCATCTATGGTCATGAAATCTTGATCATGACTGAAAGAACAAAGGAGCTCTCTCTGCAGGGTGGCTGGGCACTGGCTTAGAGATAGAGGTGGAGGAGAGCGACCTTCCGGGAGAAGCTCAGAGTAGAGCCGCTTTCACATAGCAGAGCTTGTCGTACCTGGGGAGAGGTCTGGGAGTCTGGTGAAACTGCAACCCCCACCACCTGGACTCAAAGTGTGGAAGACAATGAGTAAAAGTACTATTCAGGATGTATGAAACAACTTCAGAATATTTAGTGTTTATTGTGTTTCATCAAATTCTAATTCATAAACTTATCCATATCTAAGGAAAAAGCTAAATGGTTGAAATTTCCAACAACAAGAATTGTTTCTTTGTATCATTGCACCGGTAGTTTAGTCAGAAGGTAATAACACTCTAATTATTAAGCAGGACTAACAAAAAATTATGGGATAAATATGTACCACAGTTGCATTTTTCTTAAAAGACTAATTACAAGTTGCTTTTCTTATCAGATTAACACAAAAATATCGATTACAAAAAATTATATCTCAAAAAAAGTGATTTTTCAGAAAATAGCAAACAAATGCTTATCACAATAAACCTCACTGACATTCCGAGATTAACATAGAAATATCCAGCATATGCTCCCGTCTATCCTCCTAGATTGCTTTTATCTGATAATATCCTTTTGTTGTTGACGTTACTGTGAAGGAAATTAATCAAAACCTTGATTGCTATTTACTTAATGTATTTAGCTTTTTTACAAAATTGACATAAATATATATATATATATATATATATATATATATATATATATATATATATATATATATATATATATATATATATATATATATATATATATATATATATATATATATATATATATATATATGTGTGTGTATAGATAGATAGAAGTTTGACCGAGTTCTACTGCTAAATTCTAAGTTTTACTGTTAAGGCTCTCCTGGGCAAACTGGTGATGAACAGATGGTTCATTTCATGTTCTGCCAAATGCTTTTGAAACCCTGCTACTTTCTCATCAGCTTCAGAGCGTCTGCATATCAAACCATCTGGTAAGGCAGGTTACCTGCATTTATGGAAAACTGGAAAAGGTTTATACAGCAGAATAAAAAATTCAATCTGCAGTTCAGCATTTCTTGAAATTAGATTAATAGAACTTCAGATGAACAGCAAATATATTATTGCAGAGCATCATTGGATTGAGGTCTATCCTTAATGCTGCAAGAGTTCCAGCACAATCCACACTTACATTTTGCAAAAGGAAAGTTAGCATTTTCATTTGCTGTATTTTCAGGTTTTTTTTTTTTTTTGTTATCAAAAAGAACCTTTAAATAAAATTGCCCATGATCCCATAAAGTAATATAAAACATGGGTAATATTTCCTGCTCATCTTCCTTGTTCCTGCATCCTCGGCCCCTTCTTTTCAACTCAGCTTGTACTTCCTCAAGTAGTTGAGAGGCATAATTTTCCTCAAGTAGTTGAGAGGCATAAAACCTGCAGGACAGGGGGCCTTGAGGACCGAGTTTGGGGATACCTGGTCTATAGCATACTTTTAAGGGTTCACTAGCCAGCAGCATAATAACTAGAAGCCTCAATCGCTGGCTACAATGTGTGATGTAACCAGTAGTCTAGTTTAAATAAAAAAAGAGAAAGGTGATGGTGGATTTTTTTTTTTTTTTGTAAGGATAAATAGCCTAATTAATATAGTCTATTAACCTAAAGCA